TCTTTAGTATCAATTCTATCCACTTCATCAGCAGTGTCTAAACTCCACACACGTATGCTGTTATCACTGGACCCTGACATGATATAGGTACCAAATGGATACACGGCTAGGGTGTTCACTGACTTTAAATGGCCAACAAAGATGATCTTGATATTTCCTCTGTCATCCCAAACCTTTATTGAACCGTCTTTTGCTCCCGTTATAAGATACTATAGAACAAAACCCACAGAATAAAAAACTATAAATGAAGAAATGTATGCATGTATGTAAGTACTATCTAACTTAGCAGACAAATAACTAAAGGCCTCTAGCATTTTCATGTAGAATGCAACACAGTGCTCCACTATTAAAAAAAAAAAACAATGCCAATACAAACTGCATAACTATTCAAATTTCAGACTTGAACTATGGTAATAATAATAATAATAATAATAATAATAATAATAATAATAATAATGATACCAGCAACAATAATAGCAAATAATTTTACAATATAGCCCTTCAGTTTCTTTTTATAAATAAAATAAAAATGAATTTGTACACCATTAGCCTCTGTTAAATATATTTGGACTGAAGATGCAATCAAAATTACTTTGACTATTAATGCATTTTATTTTTTAATCACAGCTAGGCGAGTTACCTCACCTACCTGGATTCCCCCACCTCCATGTAAACAGGCCCTTAATTCTCACAAATGTTTTACAAGGAAATGTGCAGCTGTTAGAGGGGAGAATTAACAATCACATCTTGGGAATTAAAGGGTTAAAATCTAAATTTTGCAGAGACCTTTAAGCAATGGCTGGGGTTGTCCAAAGTTGTACAGTTTCTAATACAGTTCTGTGTTGTTTTCAACCTTCAATTCCCAGAAAAGATTAATATGTAACTTCTCCATGTAATATCCACATACACTATCCATAAAACAAGTAATGAGAACTATCAAACTTCTCAGGTACATGTTGTTACCTTGATGTACCACCAAATTCCTGTAACTAATTTACATGGAAATGTGTAGGAGCTAGAGAGGAGATTAACAATCATATTTTGGGAGTCAAAGCAGTGAATTAAAAGCAAACATTTCTCTCTCATTTTTTGTGATATACAGTAATGATAAAAAGTCTGCAAATTGTACCTTAAGTGGATTGAAAAACAACATAGCAGTGATCTCTCTGGGATGCAGCTCTTTGAGGTGTCCAACACATGTTCCATTGAGGAGATTGTAAATAATCACATTATTGTGATACACAGCAAAGCATCTCTGTGATCTGCTTGGGGTGTCTTCCAAGCAGAGAAAAGATATGATGCAGGATGGAGGCATACAATCCTGAAATAATGGACAAAAAAAGTATTTTTCTTGCTCTTTGAGATTAGGCTTACATTGCATTGCATATTGGGATCAAAATCAGTATCTGGGCAACTGCCCACCAACCCCTCCCCTAACCCAACAACAGTCTATTGATAACAAGTTAGGGTTAATGTTGGGTTAGGGGAGGGGTAGGTGGGCAGTTGCCCAGATACTGATATTGATCTGCATATTGATATCATTAAGAGACAATGACTCAGGCAAGCAACTCATTAATTCACAAATTAAAAGAAATGGAAATTGTTTTTACAATTGAAAATAAATCAACTTACTGTAAAAACTTTACGCTGAAGAAGAAATTTTGCTCCATATCTAAAACTCCAGCACTGTAAAAAAAGATCAATCAATAACAGATTTATATTTAAACCATATAATCCCTCATAAAATCTGTGTTGTGCCACAAAAATATCAAGTACACATAGGAAAATTCTACCAGCCAGAATCAAAACCAAAATGATGATCCCAAACAGGCCACCATACAAGTCACTACACTCTTACTTCAGTTTACAAGTTCTCCATACTGTTCTCTATTCATTTCCAGCACTACTTACAAGTCACTACACTCTAACTTCAGTTTACAAGTTCTCCATACTGTTCTCTATTCATTTCCAGCACTACTTACAAGTCACTACACTCTAACTTCAGTTTACAAGTTCTCCATACTGTTCTCTATTCATTTCCAGCACTACTTACAAGGAGAATTTGCTCAATAATCAAGAGCTTCATAACCTTGTAATAATTTTCCTTTTATTCTCCCTTAACGTTTGATTCAGGGGGGATACTGTTGGAAGAAATTAGATGCTTATCACTCTCAGGGATTTAAGATTTAAAATATGAACAAAATAGTTTTCAACAACATTCTTGATGAAAAACTGAAACTTGAAAATTGCTGACCAGATAAATGATATTTAACTTACTATGAGATTTCCAACTCCACCAGTTATTATTTCATTTGAAGATTCGTTATACACTCCACTGATAAAAGAAAACGAAAAAAAATTCTGTTAAACAATCCATAATCAATATTAGTAAAGAGAAGTGAAATATTCTACCCAGTTTTTAAATAATTTTTGTAAAATGAGACTGCTTAATTGGCAGAATAATAAGCAGTGGCAAAACAAATTAATTATATATGACCAACAACTCACAAAATGTATTCTTTAATACATTAGAATATGCATGGGGCCAACAAACTACAAGAACTGATTTACCATTGCCATATTATTAAAGCTGTAGTTTGCAAAACATTCGTTATTCATATCAGAGAGGTTTCTCAAATCATAATTGCATTGTACTGTACACTGTAATTGCAAATTAAGCACAGCCTTCAAATGTACATGAATTATACTAGTTCCAAGTGTGTATTTATGTAAATATGAGAATGTCTAATCATTAATTTTGAAGACAAACAGGGTTCATTCAAAGAAGGTTGATCTACAGTTAGTTACCAATATTATTTAAACACCATGTACATGTACATGTACCTGAGATAGCCCCAGAAGAATTATTATTTACCTGAAAATTCTGCTAACAGAGGTTGCCACACTTATGACTTTGAAATCATCTGACATCAACTGCAGCAAAAAAATATCAGAGAAACAACCATTTGTAATTAATAATGCAATGCACCATTGCTCTGCATGGGTACAAATCAGTTTAGTACATCTTTTTTAGTAACTATCAAGTCTGTTTGACAATACAGTTATTTTTACATGTATTTTTGTGTGGGTTAGGTTTGTTCACCTCAAAACCATCACTCACGTACATGTTTATTTTTCTTTGGTTTATCATCAATGGGGTAGAGTATCAAGGGGAGAACATCAAATCTTAAAGTAGAGGGGTAACTTGATAATGGGGATAAGGTTCAAGTTGAATATGAATTGTAAACATGCTACTGGCATGGAGTAGTATTAATAATTTAAATATGGTGAAGATTAGTGAGAGAATACTGTCATCAATAATGTACCAATGAACTTAATCAATTACTGAAAATGCAGGAAGCTTTAACTGTGTCTTTTTCAGAAATTTAAGCAGGCTGGCCACCATATTAGTGGGGAAAATCCAATAATTTACATTCCAAAGCTTTTTCATGCACATTAGCAGAACAATCAAGATGAAGTTTACTACTGAGTTAAGAGCCATGTGACAGTGATCTTAACCAGATAATGAGTCCACTTAAAGGAACATAACCATTGCAAAACTGAGATCTGATTCACCAAATTACCAGATATGGTGGAAAATACATATATATATGTCTTTCATTCAGTTTACATATCACATCTGACAATAATGATCACCTAACTGGATTTTGCAGTGATCTTCAGAGTCTCAATTGCTTTGAGTGCATTTAATTTAACCCACAGATGGGCAAAAAATAATTTGCATAATCAAAAGAGGCACATTCAAGAATTTTTGCAAGTTCTCATTTGCTGTTTTCTAATCAAACAGACAGAGACTATTGTAGAAGGGAAGAAAACTGGAGACCATTGTAAAAAACACCCTGAGCAAAACAAAATAAACCAGCAAAGGTGCCTGATCAGAGAATTGAACCCAGGCCACATCATTAGCAGCAGGAAGGAAAGACTCAACCATGGAACTATGCTCCTGCTTCCCTACATGCACTTCACAGTGCTTAACTTCCAATACTTTCTTTTCTTGACGCCTGAGAGCTTACCACCTACGCAGTGACTCTACCATGCCCCCCCTGAAAGTGAGCTGTTCTCTATAGAAAATCATTTGAATCATCACTGATTACAAGAGATGCTCACATTTATGTCTGTCCATTTATAAAAAGACGTGTACTTACTCTAATATTTTCATCAAATCCCCAGGCAACATAAAATCTAGGTTTCTTTGCGTATACTATTCCACAGATGGCATCTTTAAGGGTCTTGTTGTTCACATCTTCTCGGTAACCGGTTGGCAGAAAAACTGAGGCCTTTCCATCTTTATCAATTCCAACAAAGTTATGATTAAATGAGTTAAACGCTACAAAGGAAAGATCTTCCTCAACCGGCAAAGAATTCACTGAATGAACGCCGTGTCCTACATGTAGAGACTGTTTCTCATCAAGTTTCTTTGGATCGTCCCCATGCGGTTGTTTAATAGCGGTTTTGATAAGTTTCCAGTGCGAGCTCACTTTCAACTCTGATTCATCTAAAACTGGTCTCTTAGTCCGTGTTTCGATTAACTGCATAAGCTTGCTAGTCATATTGCAAAGCTCGGTCGTCCAATTTCACACAAACGCCAAATTCCTCTGTCATTTGTCAACAAGAGGTACATGTAAATCAACGTTATATTTAACGTTACGAATTTTAACAGGCGCACTTTCCACCTGATATTTCGCAGATTTGTAAAATCCACCTCCTTAAATTCGTCATCTCAATCTTCTATTGTTTTCTTGCAATTTGGACATATACATCGCTCATTTTTAACGCCAATAAACGGCTTTCTATGGGTGCCATCTGATAATAAAGTCAACTGTCGACTCACTATGACTTTCACCACAAGTTTCAAAGTGGTCTCTGTAGTCTAGTTTCTATGGTAACCTATGTCATCAATAGCGAACCACTGTTATATCTTATGCGTCTTATTCAAAGGAGTTTATTTCCGTAGACGTAGCCGCTGAACAAGACAGAACTCATGGGAGGAAGAAGAATCGTGAAGCAAAAAATACAATGTTGGATGAAAATCTCACCCTGTTGTACAAAGATTACGATCTTCGAGTAACAGGTCCATTCAAGATTGATCGATCGCCTCTCTGTAACATCGCATTAACAGACGGCTATGTGAGTAATGTCCACTGTAGCCTGAACATCTCAAGAGAAAATGATTCTCGAGCCACGTCGGTGGGAGGGTATAACAGGGTAATTAAGTATTATCAACTGAGTTGATAACGTAGATTGGCCAGTGTTTGAAAGCTGATGTTTCGCACTTTAGCCCTTCATTCGCTCTGACAAGGGGCTAACGCTCGAAATGTAAGCTTTCGAACTCTTTACGTTAGCTCCCAGTTGGCTTGTTAGCTCAATTTACGTTATCATGGGTTCAAATCTACGGGCCTTGGTCCTACTTACAACTACTAGTTTCAGTAGTGTTCTTAGCTGCGAGGATCTTCTAATTTCATAGATTCAGTTCGTTTGATTTAAGTTCCAATTCGGCAATTTGTCAGTAGTCAGGTTAAATTGCAATTAATAATGGTAATTGAACTGAGTGGAGTGCAATTTGGCGCATACGCGTGATTTGAAATCACAAGTATGATTTCAGACCAGACATGCACGACACGTGGTTCAGTTGCCACTTTATTACATCCATTTTGAAATTGCCCAAATACAAGACTTGGTCAGTTCAAATATTTTATTTATATAGTACTCTGAAATTAAATTCATCCATTTTTTTGGGGGGGAGTAAGAGTTTTGGAAACAAAGGTTGCAAAGCTTGCCATATGATACTCTTTGTCTTTCATTTTCCTGCAATTTGATTGGTCACCGTAAACAAGCCTTGAAATCTGATTGGTTGTTTTGCTTTTAGTGTAGCCTCCTCTTTAGCTGGGAAAAAGATGCGATTTAAAACAAAAAATGGTGCCATTCGTGAATAAATCACACCAATTAGAGGCAATCAGATTACAGGGACTCCCAGTGATTTCAAAATGGGTGTAGTAAATCTAGAAATAGAAGGGCTGCATACAATCTCCCAGGAAGATTTGAAGATATCAGAAGTTCCGACTCCAGGGTTACAGCATGTGCTTTCTTAAAGCGAGGGAAGTTTTTATACAACCAGATCTCTCAACCTTACCAATCATGCTTAATCTAGTTACCTTTGTCCCACTTTAATTCTCAGTCATCCTGTAGGTCATTCCTCTTGATCTGGGTTAAATTTTCCAGACCTTCCATCTATCAACATTTACATAAGCCTCTCATTTAGCTAATCCTAGTCTGATGCTAATGTGAGCATGCAGACCGATACTAGTAGTGCTTTAGTATTTTCTCCAAACTGATTTTGTCATCATAATCTTTTCTTATTTTATTACTTGATGCAGTGATGAAGCTAAGAGCCAAGTTCTAATAACAGACCTCAGTTCAAATGGAACATGGATTTCCTTTAAAACAAGTGATTGTGCTGTAAAACTCGAGAAGGGAAAGTCCACTTTACTGGAAGATGGCGATGTTATTTTGCTAACCAAGTCTACTGCATTAAACTTGGTGGCCATCTCCATTAGGTATCATTCATCTCCATTTCCAAGAAATAGAAAGTTTACACACAAACCGGGACAACCTTTGGAACACAGTAAACCAACAACACATGACAGGTGATAACGCTGAAAGGAAGCGAAAAGCTGAAGTTCAGTCCGCTAGTGTTAAAAAAGTGAGATTTAAGTTACGAGGTGAAGAGTTCTTTGATAATACACAGGTCCTGATGGAATACCCGGATCGAAATCATAAACAAAGTAAAGAAAGGAATGAGGTGTACAATAATGATTTTAGCTTCAAAAATACTGACACAGAGAGATCTACTGTAGATGGCTCGAGTAACGTAAGTTTAAGTGTTGATGAAACAAATGATTTTGAAGAAGGACACGGAAAACGGGGTGAAGTGCACACCTCTACCTCACAGTTCTTTATCTGCTCTTCTAAAAGAAGTCATTCGGGATCGTATGTATCTAAAGTACCTAAAAATACGGTAGAACATGATCTCCCTCGACCGCCAGAAAAAGTTGCAAATCATTTAGAGCCCAAACGAACAAGTATTGACGGTGCACCTGGAGATAGCGTTGATTGTGCTAAGTGTACTCACTGTGAGAAATGGATCCCTCGTGTGACTATTTCTTTGCATGAAGCAGTTTGTGAAGGTCAAAGTCTAGAGGCCAAGAGTCAAGATCATATTTCTTCATCATCGCTTCCGCTTGACACTAGTTTGGGCGGAGAGGACAGTAATGCTGAGATTCAGAATTCCGTGGTTGAATTGGTAGAAGGTGAACCGTGTACAGTAGATACTAGTGTTGAAAGTATGACTCGTGAATCAGACAGGGCTGCAAGAATGACAAGAGTACATGATGAATTGTGCGAGAAAAAAACACCTGCAATTAAGAAAACGTCTTTTCATCATTCAGGAAAATGTACTGAACCAAAAATCATTGACAAATCAATTGTTACAAGTTGTGACTCTAGGCGGGAAAAGGAAGTGCGAGTAGAAGAGAACCCTGTAACAAAGATCTCTTGTCCAGCTAAGAAAGCCCAAAAATTAAGTTCCGACTCTCTTCGTAGAGTTACCACACCCATTTTACCACCTGAAAGTGAATCTGGTCTTGAGAGAGTGGAATCCAAAGAAAGATGCACATTCTGTTCCAAATTTTTACCAGTCTCTGAGCTAATTGAACATGTGTCTGAATGCTCCAAGCTGAGTGCATGCGCAGCCTCAGGTGATACGGAAAATATCCGTGAGGCGTGCCCTTACTGTGGAGAAAATTTCAAGGTACTGCAACTTGTGGAACATGTCAGCCACTGCAAGAACATTTCGAGGCGGATAGCCGAGGAAGTCTCTCAGGAGGATGATGCCTCCACTTTCTCGTCTAGCGAAGAAGACGAGTCTGATTTTATTGAAGACTCTCCTGAGAAAGAACTGTGTCCTAAATGTGGTCGAGAGTTTCCCATATTAGAGTTAGTGAGTCACGCCGCTGAATGCAAGGAAGAAGAAATGGGCTCAGATTTCGGGTCACTGCGGGGGAATGTTGATAAGGAAGACGTCAGGAGATTTGATGATAGAGAAAGTAAAGACAATACTGGTGACGGTGAAGGTTCTGATATAGATAATGAGAACGCCGATACAACCGAAATTAACGACCATGGTTGTTACACTCATGAGACATTAAACAATGAAGACGTTGATATTGAGGAGAAGCAACTCGGCAGTAGTTGTGATAAAGAGGAAGTTACCAAAGGTGGTGTCACCGAGAATGAGGAAGGAACAGGTAGTGACAAAGCTGATGATTCTAGACGGGTAACTTACGAAGATAGCACCACTTCTGGTGACAGCTACCACCACAACGAGAATGAAAGAAATGAAAGTGAAAAAGCTGATGCTACTGAAAGAATTTCCAGACGTCACGAATATGCTCTGAGGAAGATTGATTCGGATACACGTAGAACAAATTGTAGTCTAAGCGAACATCAAAATGATGACTGTATTGGTGCCGTTGTAGCTGCTGAAGGCGATGTCGGTAGTGACGAATATGAATTCTGTCCTAATTGTCGTAAGCTTTTTCATTTGTCGCTTTTGATTGAGCATGCATCAAACTGTACCTCAGTTGTTGATACAGAAGCGGCAACAAGTGGCAAGGACCGTACTTCGACGGATTCACTGACACTAACACTTGTTGACTGCGTTTATTGTGGCATTAGACTGCCAGTAGATGTGATGAGCAGTCATTTTCCCAAATGCGAAAAACACCACTCAAACCAGGGAACAGGCGCACGGCCTGAAAAAAGAATCGCTCCTGTGGGGGATTCACTCGCATGTGTTAAGCTTGTAAACAACTTGAGCAGTGGACTATCTGTGGGAGGTATTGACCCTGAGCATCAAGCTAGCTCCTCAGAGAAAAAAACGTCAGAAATACCAGAAACGACAGAATCTTCAAGAGTTAAAAGGTCTAGGATCGAAGGTGATAATGATGATGATGATGGCGATGATGATGACGTTGATGACAAAGAAACAGATGAATCTAAAGGAGTTGTCCTAAAGAGGACAACATCATCGTTGGATTCGTATCATGATTGTGAAGAACAGTGTGTTTACTGTTTGAAGATGTTTGCTTTGAGCGTCCTTGTGGAACATGCCAGCGTTTGTTCAAGCCTTCAGCTGGTAAAGTATCTATACGCAATACTTGAATAATGCCTTCTAAAAGGTGCAGAATATTGACTGCATGACACAACTCAATTGCCCTAAATGCTTGTATTGTGAGCGACAGACATGGACTTCAATTTATTGGGATAACAATCAAGATACCCCACCCAAATTGACCTTTCTACCATACTGGTAAGAGTATTAATTGCTCATGGCTGAATAAGCATTTACAAGTGCAACCAAATTCGAGATGGACATTTTTACACCTATCACTCACTTCACCCAGCTAACCAAAGCTTTCCTGCTCTTCCGACTCTTTTTTTCACGAAACTTAATAAGGCTTTATGAGGAAGGGAATATGCAGCCCGTTTCTTCATTCAATTCGAGTGAAGTTCTCAGAACTAAGTCTTCAATTTTTTGTTTTGAATTTCTGTAGAACACTACGAGTTCAAATGATCTGGAGCAGTGTTATTACTGCCTAAGGACATTTCCTTTGAATGAACTGATAGACCATGCACCGAATTGTGAGCAGAGAACAATCCATTGCAGTCAGGTTGGTTTTTTTTTTAATTTTGAACCGTTTGATATTTGGGCCTCATTCACCCATATGGCAAAACCACTGTAGATTAGGGTGTTTAAGCTCAAAATATAAGACCACCACAGGCAAAAGCAACCTTTCCTCTCCCTGGAATCCTTAGAATTCTGGTTTTAATTAAAACAAATGTCTTCTAGGAGGATGCGGCTAACAGCCAACCATTAGCAGGCGAACCTCTAGAAAGGTGTATGTACTGTTTTAGAGACTTCCCAATTCATAAGCTGATACGTCATTCGCAGAAGTGTGATGGAGACATGTCAGGACCACGAGAGAGATTCCAAGGTTTCCTACCTTCCGTTCATGACGTAAGTTGGAAATCTGACCATCGCTATCGTAAGAAACCAGACCTATAAGCCCTATACAGGACCAACACTCAGGGTCTAAAAATTTACTGAGGAGAATGTGCTGCCTTTGCTATGGCACCAGCAAATGGTTAAACATCTCAATCTTTTAGGATAAGGGAGATAAACCGTAGGCCCCGTATCCTGCATCTTCTTCGTACTGGTTGGCAAAGGAAGTTATAGAGCTCATGCACTCCTCACAAAGAGGAGGGAACGTAGCTTCCGGTGTTGTGGTCTGGCTTTATTATTTTTTATGCATTTCAAAGGCGCTCCCCTAAGTACTTTCCGTAAACAAAGAGGTGGGGCAACAAAGGAAAACGTAAAGGAGAAGCAGTGAAAACACATCCCTTTTACTTGAATCTTAAAGAAATTGGAATCGGACAGCAATGTTTATGTTGAATATTTAACCATTATTTTTCTTCCTGGGAGAGACATGGCTTCTGTGGTAAGCTACTGCAAACGTGGTTAGCCAGCGGAAACCGTGCATTTCGTCATACAGCATAGGTCTGGTAGAAAGAAGCAAATTATACACGGTCATTTTACGGTAATCCGCTTCAAATTAAAGGATTGTCTTAAGGTATCCCTTTGTTGTCTTAAAAATTTTCGGTGTAAAATACCGTTTCCTTTGATACCCCAAACTCAAATGAAGAAAATTACTGTATGAATGTTAAGAGGATTTTATCGATTTAGACAAAGCGGAAAAGCGAGTAACAACTTATTTATTATGCCTTTGTGCATGAATAGCAAAGAGGGAAAAATAGCCCTAATGAATGAGGAAAAAGACTATCAAATCGCTTTCTTTGTTCGAAAGCCAAATCACTATAAGAAAGAATTTTCGTCCTCTCAGTTAAGTGCCATCTCATCAGTCGCCATCTTGAATGACACTCAAAGGGACGCTTTAGAATATGTCATTACACGCTCTGCCCAGGATTCCAAAACAGTTGCTTCCACCTTACTTGCTCGAGTCAAGCGACTGGGTTACAGTGAAAACGACTTGAAGAGGTTAGTATCATACCTCTGACCACTTAGTATTTTGAAAGAAGTTGATGCTAGTCCTACCAATAGCGGTAAGTCGGATAGCAGTCTGGGAGTTGGTTCTCTTAGCTGACAATTTTCCTTGATCGTGAAGTGTGATCGTAAAGGAGAGATGGGTCTTGTAAAGAGCAGTTGTTTCTTTAAGAAGAGACTTTCCATTGATTTATTCGAAAATGAAAACCACCGGCTCGGGCTTTAACTTTCCAAAAGAACGTACCATCTTCGCATTGTTGGTTCCCAACCGTTGTGCGAATGTTGCAAGATTTTCTTTGCAATCTCTTTCACTGCAGTACTTGATTTCACAGATGGTAGATGTTACAAGAAGGGAATGAATAGAGTCACTCATTGGTTGCGCCTCTAGGTTGCACCAAGAGTTTTCTGTAGTTACTGTTGCGTTTATGTTTCCCCGACAAAACCAATAGTAGTATTGGAAATAGATAAATGCACTACGACAATGAATTCGTTGGACTTGGGTCCTGCATATTCAACACATGTTGTTATCATCATAGTTCACTTTCAAAATTATCGGTACTTCTATCATAAATCCAAACACCGTAATTAAGAAAGGACCTTTAAATGAGCAGTAACTGCAGGGTATTTCGACAAACGGGCTCCTGAACTTAAGTCAATATTTTCTATTGCGTTTAAGACAATGTTTGGTTTTTAGAACCTTGCAGTGGGTCCGCAGTGCAGCTCCTATTATCATCCACGTCAATCTTGACAGAGTGTTAAAGTTCTTAGTCGACGATACTCATTATCGAAACCGCTTTGAGACTGGCACTAGTGGGGGCTCAACGGACATAGTGGCTAGGAAATCCTGGGAGGTGAGAATACGAGAAATGATCAAAGATTACCGTTGCTTTACATCTTATTGGAGACAGAAACAAAACCCCACGCTTTCGAAACAACTTGAGGGAATTGGAGTCTTAGAAGCGATATTACATGCCTGGAAAGCAAAAATCAAGAAACAGAAAGAGTAGAGCGACTCGCCTCTGACTCAGCCTTGGAAGCGTTTCCCCGTCTTTTTGTTTTAGTGCTTTTTTTTTTTTTAAATTAGCCATTCTTTATTCACCTTTAGTGACAAGTTCCGAAGAGAGTTAACGGTATCTTTAGTCACTTTGAAGTTCGAGAATCAGTCGAGTACTGGTGAGACTCTTCTCTCAAGTTGATTCACTTAAAAGGTCATTGCTCCAAATATTGCTGGCGACTCAATGTGCTCTTACAATCTCTTTCTTCGCCGCCTAGGACCGTATTTTTAACAGCGCTTACCACGACAGTAACCCATCAGAGCGAGTCAAGTACGGTGTACTAAACATAGGTGAGCATGACACCATGACTTGAATGCCACACCAGAGAATCCCTAGTATCTATCACAAGGGAAAGGATGATTACCTTCTAACATTTTTATTTTGCTAACAACCATAAGAAAATCATGATGATCACTTGTATCAACCTTTAATAAATAGCCAAAACGGCTCAGAGCCTTCTTCCATTGAATCTTGTAGACTGCCATAAAATTCGCCGATCAGCTAGGCAGAGGAACAAAAGAGATGTCATAACGTGCCAATTGCTAATACATGTAGCCCTACATCGAGCGCAGGAAAGTGCACATGACCAAGTCACACGTAATTGCAGTGTTTGAATTTTTAAAACGGTGGGGTGTGATGTCGGAACCAATCTTAAAGCCCGGTGAAGTAAAACCAATGAAATCATAGGTTACTTTTTAATAACCAGTTCGAAAATCGCTCCAAATAAAGCTTATTTTTCTATCATCAAAGTGCTGTTAGAAAGCGATAGTTTACTGACCTTCTCTTATCTGTACTATTTGCCCGGCTTCCTAGTTGGCGATCCTCGTGGTGTAAGAAGCTGTATTCATTATGGAGATTCCTTTCTACAGGTTAGCCTCTTTTGTTACTTTCGTGCTAGGAAATTTACTAAGTGAATAAAGATCGCTCGCTTAATTAAAGAAAACATACATGATTGGAGAGTAATCCGGCACCATTTACGCACCAGCGATATCAGCTGCATGTTCTCGCCACCAAGTTGTGCAGTAAGAGTCAAATCTGAAGGTACAATCAATCCAATGCTGTGTTGGCGGTATTAAGGCACAAAGTTTTCCATTTTTTCACCTTTTGCGTACCAAAATAGCTTGAATTTACAAAGTGTCTCAAATCTCCCAATCCCACCATCAAATTTAAGTTAACCTCTTATGAGAATAGCTTAGACGTGTTAGATAGCATCTTGCACCTTCGACTTGGCCTTGTCATCACTGATTTACTGCCAAATCCTCTGATTGCCACCTGTACTTACTTTTTTGTAGTTAACACGCACTAAAAGCTCCAACAAGCCATTCTCTATGGAGTTGCATTGAGAATCCATCGTAATTGTTCCACTGAAGAGTTTTTTCTTTCTTTCCAAAGGAAGTGAAGAATACAATGATATAACAAGTTACAAAATTACAATAATTATCCAATAAATTCATCATACGAGAAAGCTTTCAACAAGGGGAGATCCAAATTCTCACAAAAGAGACTCAAGCCCAGCAAAAACAAGTTTCTTCTGTTAACGAGAGGACACTTGGTTGTTTTAATGTTGACAGGCTGTTAAATTCCTTTAACGCCCAGGTTGAGGGAAGCCATGTTTTCAATCTCTGTGCGGTGGAAAACGATATCTTCCTAAATTCATTCCATCATTGCCAGACTTCCCATTATAAGCTTTCAAATTGAGACTTCTTCGTTTATTATTTTCCTTTCTGGGGCATGCAACTCTTAAATGGAAAAGTCGCAAAACAAAAATAACCTGTCTTCAGCAGCATAGTCACTTTCATTCTCGGACTTAACACATATGTTAAACTATAACTGAGATGACACTGGAACGGGTCAAAAGTCCTGGATTCCAGAAGCGTTTGTATCAACTGAAACTTACCCACACAATGCACATGCCTGTGTCACCATATCAGGAGAAGCGGTTTATTTTAAAATTTTAGCATCTGTTTTGTTCTTAGCTAAGAAAAGTTCGTCTTCGTACCACCTTCGCTTCTATGGACACATCCGGTGAAGGAGTCAAGCTGTCATGTTGTGAACATTATGAAAACGTCCTCTTTGCATACACAGACAACGAGATAACTGCGGTGAATAATTTCAATGCGATACTTTTTCTATCTACTCCTATTTTTCTGTCTCCTTTGCTTGTTCTTTTGATTGATTGCGAATTGTTTGTGCCAGTATTTTTTAATTTCATCGTGTGCTCTGATCGTTCGGGTCGGAGTAGTCCTAAGGAGTTTGGCAGTGGTGACTGACACCTCGAAAACCGTAGAGGAAGTCATAATTAGGGTCAAGATGTAAGACGAACATCTGAATTTTCTATGCGTAACGAAATTGTCAAACACGTCTCTTCAATTCCCCAGATAATGGATGTAGCCAATGGAAAGGTTCCATTTCATCGATCAGACTGTATATCAAAGTACAAAGAGGTAATATGCGTACTTTGTTTCGTGTTTGTTTTTTAATTTTGCTGTTGGCCATAATTGAAATAGTTTGTGCTGGAATATCAGCTCTAGGTGTTTTGATATGTGCTGGACATAGTGCCTTCACGTTAAAAATATCTATCTTCCTAACCTGTTGAATACGCACGACGAGTAAAACAAACTCTCACAAGGAGTCGACGTTTATGCGATGAGAATGCTCAATCCTGCCCCTGCGGCCTGGGTTCAAGTCGCGGGGAACCTTCCTGGGCTGTACCGAGAGGTTTTCTTCGAGTTCGCCAATTTCCTCCTTCCACAAAGATCAACAGTTTTTTACTTGTTTTCTCTTCATGTTTTGTTTTATTTGATCTTTTGTTTGTTTGTTTTTTCCATGATAGTTGCTTGCAAACCTTTGCATGTATTTTAGTTCGTCAGTCTTTATGGTCCCTAGCAGGAACTCAAAATGAGCTTTTGTAATTATTCTAGATCTGATAACCCATCGGGTTTCAAATATTTGAGTCGATATTTACACGACAGGTTCAAATTCACGGACCAGTCAGCCTATCTGAGAATGTTGAGTGTATTGTGGTGAACTCTCGCCACCACAAAGACCCAAAGATCAAGAATATGTTGGACCGTTTAGTGGAACAAAACAATTTTAACCTTATTTGGATGGATCCTGATGACTTATCAAGTCCAGCGCCTTTTCCGTTTGGCGCCATGGGCCATTACTCGTTAACGGAGTCTTCATCTGGTTCTCTCTCTGCTCCACCTAGAAGACGGACTCATGGCAAGGTCCGCAAAAGAAGTCGTAAACGAACATTTCCACATTAAGGAAAGGACATTGTGTGTTTGTCATGATCAGGAATGGAGAGAATTGGGGAGGCTCCTTCAAGGAGTACACTGTACCATCACAGTGCTTTTTGGAGTATCTTAGAGCAAACTACACCATCCTTCCACATTCGCAAAAGCATGCTACGGCAAAGTTGTGCTTGGGTTTGGCCAAGTCCACAAGATCACACTCTTTAAACCATAAATTATTGCATTGATGAAAAACAAACATAAACAAGGTTTGAAAGTCTTATGTTTAATCTTTTGTCAGGCGATGGACTCTTAGACGAACTAAAAAAAAGCAAGCCGTAAAAAAAAACAATTTTTTAAAGAACAGCCCTTTATTCTCTGTAGTCTGTAATTGAAATTAAATTTTAATTAAGTGAAAGATCTTTCCCTGAAACATTCGTCAATCTGCAAATGCAAAACCCTCATTTTGATCACTAGGATGGAATGACACAACTTATGACAATTTGAGACAAACAGCAATTTTCATAGTGCTTTTGCATAACAGAAAATCAGGATGTGTTACAATTCAAAGTCAAACTCTAATCCAGATCCTTTCAATTTTACCAATACGTCCTTCTCTTTTATCCACGTAACGCCTAGGGGCATTTAGCATACGTGCATTGTAAACGAGTATGCTGAATGTACCTAGGCGTTATGTGGATAAATAAACCATCTATCTATCTTTATATAATAAGCTCAGTTATGCACGCATTCGGATTGGTTCTCACTTATGATCTATTGGAGGACAGACGTATAGATGATGTCCTCATTAAAACTTTTTTTTCCGTATATTTTAATTCTTTATTATTTAAAACAAATAGATTCCAAGTTGCCGCGCGTCTGTTCAGTAATAGATCACAGAGGACGTCAAAATGTGGTAAGAACATCAGCGACACACTCGGCGCCACTTTTGTGTTAATCGATAAATAGCCAAGGATTTATAAGACATCCGGAATAGGGTCATGAAAGCTAGTGGGAGATTTGGTGCAAAAAGAGATAAAAATAGTACTAAAGCCTGGATCCCTGCAGTAAAATAACTCTAAAATAGCATCGTCTTTGCATTGCTTTTTGGCACTGAAATACACTTGTAGTCCTCTAATGGTTATAATCCAAAGTTGAGATCCTTTGAAAATCCTATTTGTTTGAAAAAGTTCCCTCAATAATTATTATCAATAAGTTTACGTACACTTGATGTCTTTACCACAACTTCAGAGGTACTCACAAGTCATAACTTAATTATGAAGCTGATCATTAACTTGTTGGAAGATAATTAACAGAGTCTTTATCTGGTTCTCTCTGTCCTCCACCTAGAAAACACTCTGATGGCAAAGTCAACACAAGAAGTCCTAAACGAAAATATCCACATTAAGGAAAATACACTGAGCATTCATCAAGATCAGGGGTTCAGCCTGATTAAGTATCTGTAGTGTGTAATTGAAATTAACTTTTAATTAGTTGAAAGATCTTTCCCTCAAAGATATGTCACTCTGCAAATGCAGACTCTTCATTTTGACCACTAGACTAGAATGACATAAGTTATGACAGTTTGAGACAGATGATAACTTTCATAGTGCCCATGCACAGCAGAAAATTATGATGTGTCACAGTTCAAAGTCCAACTCAAGTCCAGATCCTTTCAATTTTGCCATTACTTCCTTCTCAAATCTCTCGTTCAACTCTGGGGTGAAGTGTTCCTTCCAGTTACCAACCACACCCTTCTGGAGAAGCTTTGGACCATCTTCCTTGCCACGTAACAAGTAACTTTGAACATTCTTCATCATTCCTTTAAAAGTGCACTGCTCGGCAATGAGATTGGCGAGATCATCTGGCAGAGGCTTGTTAAGGAAATCAGCAATTATACGAACATTGGACAGGAGATCCTGGGAAATATAATCACTCCTTCATTATCAATCCATCTTTTAGAACAGATACTTAGAATCTCATGATCAACTACAATTATAGCACAGTGTTATTTTCCATATAAAAAATACAAAATACAAGGTACAAAAAATGAATAAAAAAATATAGGGGGCCATCTTTTACAGGTGTCTCTCCATAAACAGAGAGTTAACTGTATGATGCAAGCTAAACTTTTGCATTAAAGGCATTTTAATTTACTTGATCGCATTATCTGACTTCAATTTTTGCTTTCCATGAGTAATTGTGGGCATCTATCAAACTCTTCTCATACATTTAATAATATGTTCAAAAAGTTGAAATGTTCATAAAAAGTCCACTTTTGTTTATTCATTAACCCTTTAACCCGTAAGAGTAACTGGCATCTAATTTCTCCTTACCATATCACCCCTGAATCAAACATTAAGGTCAGGAGAATAAAGGAAATGATCAACAATTAAAGAAGCTCTTGATTGTTAAACAAATTCTCCATGTGGGCACCTTAGGAAATGTTTCAAGAACAGTATGGAGAATATGCATACTGATTTAGGGTGTAAAGGGTTAAGTTTTGAAAATATGTTTTTCTTACAACTGTTAATTTAATTTTGGTTGTCATTTTCATTGCTGTTACTATTGTTACTTGTATATTTTGCACTTACCAAATCCAATGTAAAGCTGGACTCACAGTGCTCCAAAAAACAACCAGTCATCCACTGCAAAACTGAGGGTAAACATAATTTGAATGCACATACCTTTTGAAGGTCTTCATATTTAAGGAAAAGAACATTAGGATCATGTCTGTGCTCCCACCATCCAAGAACATGATTACTCCACTGGCTCCACATGGCTAAGTAATGAATTAAAATATAAAACAGATAAGTGACACTGAAGTTAATTCCTCAGAGAATTATCCCTAGTCTAACCAAATTTAAGGCAGTAAAACCTCCATTCTGGGACCCAGGCAAGTGTCCTCTGAATAGATGTGTCTCCTGAATAAAAGTTAGGTTAGGGTTGCCTAATAAACATTTAACCAGCCCAAAAAATAGCATCATTTTTTCATTATTCTGGCTTGAAATCTTCTGAAGTCTTTATTTCAAGAAGCTAGATAATGTATGAAAAAACATCTGCAATTAAGGAGAAAGAGGGTCTGGGCCATTATGTTTGCATATGGAGCAGTACGTTGGCAAATTCCTAAAGCCAAGCACCAATAAAGGGACAACTGTCATTACTGGAAAGCTGGTGGTAGGTTGGAAATCCATGCAAATACATCTTCTTCTGTGGCACAAATACTTCAGTAAAATGTATCGAGTAATAAATTGAAGGAACTGGTTTCTGCAATGTTGCTGATGCCAAGCAGTCTTATATCTTTTTTTCTCTGGCCTTCAGCTACCTACGTTTGAATTCTATAATTTTTGTAAACATTAGGATGTATTAAACAGTAATCACTTAGTCAGTGCAAACAAAACTCTGAAAGGTGATGTGCTTACTTTTGCCCTCAATAAACAGCTTCACATAATATTCCCATGGTGCATTCAATCCTGTAGAGGATCCAAGGCTTTTCATAAATTTATAACTTGAGACTGCTGCATCTTTAGGATTACGAGCAATGTAAATATATTTACAGCTTGTGTCCTTGTTTTTAGCTTTAGGGATGGCTTCATAAGAGAGGTGGGTCTTTAGAAGACGAGGGCTTGGTAAAGTTTTAATGTCAGGCTGAGTTGACTTTGGGTTGGTTGCCTCTTCCACAAATGGGACACGATCTTCAATTTTACCACTGTTGATTTCTCCATTGTGATAAATCTGCCAGACAATTTCTTGAACCCAGGTAGTCCCTTGGACAAATACAGAATTTAACTAATTCAATACCTCACATTGCCTCTTACAGCATGGCCATAGAAACCTCACATTATTCAGTATTAAAGTCAATGAAAGAAAAAAAATGATAACAAAATGAATAAAAACGAAGACAGGCATATTTTGGCTTTATCATTTTGGATGACCTAAGCACAGATTTAGACAATCTATGAAATCCAAATGTCAACATGGTGGGAAGATGACACTTATTTATACGCCCAGATGGAGAAGGGAAATGTAAAGGTGCAGTAACTTGCCCAAGAAAACTACACAACGAAACTCAGGTCAAGGTTTTTCAAATGGACCATTGATCTTGGAATTCAGACAACTAGCCATCAAGCCATCATGTCTGGCTGCTTCACCCTGATATGGGTATGATAGAACCTGTCTATCTTAATTTGTTCATATTTTATTTGGTATGACAAATAGGATAATAATTTATCATAATGTTCCTTCAGGTGAAGGGGAATTGGGATACTGGTTACCAATGTAACTTCTAACTACCTCCAGTTCCAAAACTTCATGAAATCTTATTTATGACAAATCTTATTTACTGCAAATAATCTCACTTACTAGTAATAATCAAAGATTACTAAGGTGCATTCAATCTCTAGTAAAAGTTTTTTTTTATTGTACTGATGGCACAGAAGAAAAGTCAGTGTCTTCAGCTCAAGGCAGCCAAGAAAACATTAGTACATGAGATTGAGGCTATTTGTGCCACATAGCCAGCCAGCCAGTCCGCCTGCATAAATTTTTTTTCGGGTTCACTTTCTGAAGCTTAGATACCAGGCTCAATTAGGTAACCAAGCCTTCTTGTGGTTTGTTTACAATTCTATACTCACCTCCCCCAACTGGTTGAAGTGCGATGGGGGGGGGGGGGGGGAAGACAAGAAAGGGAACATTTTTGTCACTTGCACAAGAAAAACAAACGGGAAGTCATCTATTAACCCAATTTTTTTTGTAGTTTTCGCGGGAAAGAATATTACCTTATCTCGCTGCGCTCCGTTCAAAGTTGTCTCAGATGTTGAGGCAGTCCAGGGAACAATTTAAACATTAGCCCAGTTTTGTGCAATCAGATTAATTGTTGCTCAGAGTGCATTATTTCATGACAACGTACTTCAACAAGTTAGGTATACATATAGTATATGCCACGAAAGCAAATGATTTTTGGTGTTATCGCTAATTGAGATATCAGATCAAGAAAGTATAAGGTTATTAATAAAGAGTTAAATTTTAGCTGAAAGCTTTTCGAGTTATTGATTTGACAATTTACTGTACGTTGTAAAATTACAAAGCAAAACAATAAATTTAGGTTGTAAAACACTAAAATACTTACTTACTTACCTTTCGGTCTCAAAACGTTTTTCTCTTTGCTGCTTTAAAAATTTGAGCTTGTGTTTACTACACGCCGAAGTTCCTTGTATTCTCCAGTGTGACAAAAAAGGTCACGCAAGCAAGAAAAGGCTTGGGCACAAATTCAGTAGGCTTGGCTACTGAGTTGAGCCACGATTAGTATGCGTTCTCCTTTGTCGAACGCAATAAAGTCTCACATTTACTCATGTGTAGCAAACATTTAGTCAGATTGACCGCCATTTTACGCGAGGGGTCATCTATCTTATGAAAGACACAAACAAACGTTGTCAGTAGACACAACTCACCTGATTTGGGATAGCTTACAACGAACACATCGTCCGGTCTGGTCTGAAAACCAGTAATAAAGTCATGAAGCAACTGAGGATCCGGGACGAAATATGCAGGAATTCTTAATCCCAAGATTTCAACAGTTTTATCTGAAGTCCACTCCCCTTCACTTTCCTGAAGAACTGGAAAAGTCGACATGGTGTCACGACGCACGAAAATGTCACTCCTGCACGAACGATAAAAGAAATTCAAAGAGGCTCAATATTCACCCCTGCGGGCCAATGATTAAAACTTTGAAGAGGCTCACATTGGATCTTTGTCCTCCTGATAAACGAAATCGGAAGTAGCCCATATCATCGATGATCACATGACTATGGTCACGCCACTGCACTGTCACACTAACCGTAGGGAAACTTTTGAAGAACAACAAGCGATAGAAAATTAATTTAAAAAAATCGAAAGGGCTCAAAACATAGTGGGGATGAGGTAAAGGTCTGTAGCAGAAAATTACTTTGTATGCTAAATTTACCCCCGATACCCCGCGCATTCTATCCATGAAAAATCTTATCCAAATTCTTTTGTTCTGCCTCTTACTAAATAAGGCATGGATTCCTGCAGGCGTTTTCATGACGGCTTCCCACGATCGGTTAGGCCTTAGAGGCCTGGGACGAGATAACCAGGAAGTGGGAAAAACACGAATCACTTTCTCTTTCTCGCACTTGGTGTGTTTTTGGGTATTAGATCCTCTTTAAAAGATAATGATTGAAGATTAGCTTCAGATATAATGCAGCTTTGAAGGTAAGGGAACGAAACGATGTTTTTGATAAAGGAACTTGAACCGAGTAGTCAATGGCGCGTGTGTGCTGGGTAGAAGTTCTTCATCTTAATATCAATTTTTTTGAAGCTGTACCTTCTGCTAAAAATATACGATGTAAATATGATAACAAAGTTGCCTTATTGAACTGTGGATCGCGGCTTTTTGTGCTCAGTTAGAGGCAGCTGAACATGTGCTTATTTCTTTCGTTGGCGGAGGTGCTACAGCATTTGATGGATTACTTTATTGATGGATATCTATGTACGTTAAAAATTTCATCTGCATTAATTGCAAGAAGAAACATTTAATTCTACTTTGCTAAACTAACTAATATATTATGAAGATAAAACCTGTCATGTCCCAAAGTTATTTTCCGAGGATGCCGTGTCTCATTCGAAGTTGTAATGACGTACGTAGCGCATTGGGCTGAAAGAATTTGTTTGCCTCCGCCAAAAGTCTCGACAGAATTTGTCAGTCCTGGGCGTACTGAAAAACAGAAAAATATTTGTTAACCACAAAGTATCAATTACATGAATGCACAAATTGTACCTGAGGTCTACTTGGACATGGAGATTCTGCTTGAACGCAAAATTGGGAACCATGATTGTTATATTCTTAGCGTCCTGAGTACTGATCATCATTCATGCAGCATCCAGTGGTACAAATCTTCTGTCATCACCATTTGATTACTGCGTAAAAAGTGAATTTCAGTTTTGGCGGCCTTCCTCTTGAACGAATCAAATTTAAGAAGGGAGATCAAATTTTCTTGATTAATATTTTCCTTTAAATCATAATTTAAAAAATCTGTCAGATTTTACACATGACACAAATTTGTCCTGCTCCAAGGTGGAATGATGGCACTAAAATATGGTAGGAAAAATTCACTCAGCACACCTGTCACAGAATTGATGACAGATATTTTTGCAAAATACACCAAAATTTGAGCAGTGCACCAAGGCCCTAAGGAAACTGCAGAACACAGATCATGAGATTGGCTGTTCCACACCCGAGCACTACTGTATCTGAAGCATCTTTTAAAATAATTGGTGTGGGGCTGTGGAGGAGCAAATCTATTTTTGAAATTCCTGATTGAAATTCCTAAATCAGTAGGAAGTAAGGTCATTTTCAAATAAAAATTGAAATCTTAGATATTTGGGAGTCATTCAGTATATAGTCTTTGCTGCAATCAGTTGTTTGTAGGCTTTTAACCCTTTGACTCCCAAGATCTTTTTAGCAATTCTCATCACTGTCTGCCATATGATTTTTATGATGTTAATTTGGAAAATTTATTATTGGATCAAGTGATAATCCCCTTATTAATCAATGTTTCTTTATTCTCATCTCTTGTCTAGTTGATATTGTATTGATATTGTAAGGAGAAATTCTGTCTTCAGTTGGTTACTCATATGGCAGTTTAAGGGTTAAGTCATAACCATATGCAAGCCTTGTAGAGGAATTTTCTCATACATTCCAGAATGTTCTGTCATTTATCAAGTTAATTTTTGTGTTTACTGAGTGAGTAGTGTGGATAGTCCAAGCATGCTAATTCATAAATATGTCACTCTATATATTAAGTGAAGCTTGTATCAAGCTGTTGTTGTTATTGCTTGGCAAGGGGTAAATAAAGCTGTTTTGCTGATTACAAGCCCGCAGGCTGAGTAATAGTGTAGTATGTACCCAGTAATACATTTTTCTCAAACATACAACAACTGCAACTTTGGGAACGAACATTATACATCCCTAGGGATCAACCAGAGTATCTGCTTTGATTTTTCTTCTTGAAAGACCGATGTAACAATGTAACAGCACTTAACTATGTCTTGGTTTTTCTTATGCTAGGAAATGTTTGGTGTTCAACTTATCATTAGGCAGGGGCATTTCAGGGCATACCCATTTGCCAGACCAGTAAATGTTCAAGAAATTCATGCCAGCTCTAGGCTTCTCCATTAGATTAACTATGATCATTGTGTTAGTTTCAAAACACTTAGTTAATACACACTTTATTATTGTTTTTGTTCTGGTTCATTTCTATTAATAAGTCTTTTGCCAGTTAATGATTATTATGCAATAAGTTTGTTATCTCGGATCAATTTCCATTTAAGTAAAGATTCTCTCTCAATCATCGCTACAAAATCATTGCTGCTAAATCATCGCTGCTATTTGCTTCCATAAGGAGCTAGACCAAAGTGTTAGTCTCTATTTCTTTTACATTTACATTGTTTACCTTTTGTATGTATTATTTGTGTACTTCTCATATTTGGTTTTACGAGCCATTCATTTTAGTTAGGTTAATGTTACATTTGGTGACGCATTTTTCTTAGTTTAGTTTTTGTTGTATTTTCTTTTAATTTGAACCACACATACACAACCTTAACTGCTACTCTCATCAAGCAAAATTACATCTTAGCAATAAAGATCACTTGACATTGTGTGCATTCAAATTGTCTGCTCAGCCACTTAGGTAACCTTTTGAGGTTACACATTGGTCTTTATGACACTTGCTAAGCATTTACAACAATCTCCTAATTTACTGGGCATGTGCTAAAAAATGATTGATGGCCAGGTTTACCTGTATAGGTAATCAGTGGGAATGATGTAGGTTGCCAGGTATTATAACAATAGTTTCAAATTGATTGTTAAGCTTATGAAGGTGACCCATGGAGATGCAATCAGAGCTTCAATTTTCTTTAAATGTGCTACATACCACAGCTGTTAATTACATACATTTAACATATCACTCCAACTGTAAGTGCCTGTTGTTTTCAAATTTGAACCTCGATAATCTGGATCTTGATAATTCAGATTTTGATTATCCAAATTTTTCAATTGTAGGGACTCCCTTCTCTGGTCCCATTTTTTTCATGAACATCACTTAGTCACATGATAGATTCATAACAAATTTTTCCCAGCAAACAAAGAAGATGTATTCAATCAATGTTGATGCTATTCCATTAATGCAGCTTCAAAGTATGATATAATTTACAACATTCATACCTAGTCATTAGCAGCTTGAAACCAATTGATTTACATCAGCATTCTAGCTCATGAAATGTTGTCATTGTAAAACATTTTTGTACATACTTTGGCAAATTTTGGCAGTGATGCAAAATGATATGAGAATATATTTTGATTCTTGTTAGATTTTGTCTTAATGATATATATTCACTTTTCTTTATGGCTCATTTATAGTAATATTTTCAATTATCCAGACCCTCAAATTTTCTGGGCTATTTAGCCCAGTCCCCACAAGTCTGCATGGATATTAGAGGTTCAACTTTATATTAGGTGTCTTCTAATCAGTGTTGTTCCACTTAAATGGTCAGGCACAGCTTTGTAGAGCACAAATTATGATCTTACAGGGTCACTATACTGACCTTGTCGTGTAGGTTTCTTTTTTTAATTTTTGTGTTGTTTGGTTTAATTTGGATTCCTTTTGCTAAGATGTATTATATTTGATCAGACTGAGATTGAGGGCTTTTATTTAGTGACACAGGGTCTGCAATACATTGAGAACTGAAGAAGTTCAATTCATTGTCATAATATGGTAGCTTGAGTCATGAGCCAAGCTAGGGAAGCTCAAAATCCTTTCTTAAGAAGTGAATCATGCCTTTAAGGTAATTTATTTTGCAATCAAACCTAATATTTTTGATATTTTATGTACTAGAGTTAATTAAGACAGGGAATTTGAGAATGAGTAAAGTGGACAATGGACCATAAACCCCTTCAGAATTTTATGGGTTGTGCCTGGAAGCAGGACGTAAAATGAATTAATAAATAATTACTTATAAATAATAAATTGATAAATTAATCAATCTTTTGACTACTAAATGATTCGTTCGATCATAATCATTAAAGTGAATCAATCATTCAACCGTGGTATTTAAGTAATTAAATTAAAGTAAGTTGTGCAGTTAGTGCAAAAAATTAGCGTGTGGAAGGCCCATATTCTTCTTTCTTCAAACCAAGATCAAGCTCGATTGGATGTACTAGAAAGTCTGAATCCAACGTTTGCCCTAACTGTTCTTGATTGGGCAATGAAGTTTTTACCAAAAAAGTATCGTGAGTCCCAAAGTGATTGGTTCTGGAAACGTGGCATTAGCCGGCACAGCACCGTAGCAGTAAGAAGGAAAGATAGCACCACGCAATGATGTTTTTAAAAAATGCTCCCAAGTCAGTGACACTGTTTTAGCAATAATCGATGACGTATCCAGCAACTCAAGTCCACTTCACCTGAAGTACAATCAGTGTTTTTCAGACAAGACAATGCTGGATGCTATCACTCGACCTCAGTCTTACTATCTGCCCAGCGAAGAGCCACAAAGAACAACATCAATCTATGTCAAGTTGATTACTCTGATCCACAAGGTGGAAAAGGCCCATGTGATCGCAAAGCAGCGACGATCAAAAGTCACATTAAGATATATTTGAATGAAGGCCATGATGTAGAGACTGCAGAGCAGATGGTGCAAGCTATCGAGTCAGGTGGTGGAGTACCGGGAGTAAGAGTTACTTTA